TATTTTTCAGTTAACAAGTGTGTAAAATTTTTTTAAATGGTATCCTATCCTAACTTAATGGCTTCCCTACACCCCCTTTCCTTTGGGAGGATACTGATAAGTGCTGGACAGTTTCCTTCCGCTCTGAGCACCGCCTCTGACTTCTCCGAGTTCCTTCTTTCATTTGCTTGTTTTTGGTGACTTTGTCTTTCACATTAGAGATGTTTTTCAAATGTCTGGTGATCCTTGGATGTCCACGTATATTTAACAGTGTGTCTCAAAAAGCCCACATATGGCAGTAACCTTTACTGTGGGGTGATGTGATGGGGACCCAGTGTTATGCTTGCAACCCCCCAAACACGAGCATCTGTAGGTATCTTCTCCAGGGCCCATTTCCCCGGAGAGGAATACTCTAGTCTGCTGCTGGGCTCTGGGGATGGGTGGGTTCTAGGTTTGACAGCTAAGACCTCAAAGGTGTCCCGAGTCCCACTGCTTAGCAGGCCCTGGGTTCCTCAAGGCTCTTCATGCCCAGTCTCAGCTGTGGCTGATGTCCCCAGTTCCAGCACTTCCCTGGTTCACCCTTTCCTTACAGCAAACCTCCCATCTTCTGTGGGCTTGGGGAGGAGCTGTCAGCCAGTCACATGAGCTGCAAAAGGAATCTAGAGTGCAACCTCTCTCAGACAGACTTTCAAACAGTCCTTTTCTCCCAGCCATACTCTTGCCACTTTAGGTATCTGGTGTCTCAAATTCCCAAGCCTATCTTGGGGGTCCACAGCACAAATCCTTATAGACACTCAGCAGAGAAGACAAACAGAAACCTATCAGGATCCTTGTCAGACTCCATCAGGCTACACTATGGTAACAAACCACCCAGGTCCCCAAGGCTGGAAACAACGAAGGTGGATTCCTCTCTCACATTGCATATCCACAGGGTCAGCAGGGGACCCTGCTCATCATGGTCACTTGGGACCCGTGCTAATAGAGGCTCTGAGTCCTGTGTCATGAGGCTTCTGGGAGAGAATTCTGCCCTCAGTGGCTTCTGCCTAGAGGTAGCATCGACTGTTATTGCTCCTATTGCATGGGCCATGGCTACTTCGAGGGGATGAGGAAGTGTGGTGTGGAAAGAAGAGGACAGCTGGAAATCCTGGGGAGCACTAATGTCCACCACAGCCAGTCACCACTTTGGTGATGCAGTTTTGTTGTTCTCAGCTTGCTGCTGTTTCCTCTGTCTCTTGGTACTTGTGGCTTTATATATATATATATTTAATTTTACTGTCATTTTGGTGTAGCTCTCAGAGGGAGCAGAGATAAACACCATTTTAAGCTGTAGAACACACCACTCAAAGTAGCCAACACTCTCCAATTAATGCTGGGTGCCGTTACCGCCTTTCTTGGATCCTATTGTGACTCTGTCCTCTACTCAGAACACCTTTGCTGCCTAAAAAGAGATCGGGAGGCTGTGGAACTTTTCAGAACTGGGCATTCATTAACAACAGTTTTCAAGAAGGGCATTGCTAGGCTGTTTTCAAACCCATATCTGGAAAAAGAGAAAGTCTGCTAGAAGCAAAGCACTAGTATTCTTTAAATTTCCAGAAAACAATGATTTCCGGCAGTGCTGAGCGTTATTGTGTGTTCAATAAGTTCTTGCTAATGAGCAACCCCATCTTCGCACTCTGTGTGAGTCACCAGGAAGCAAAAGCCAGTTTGCCCCAGGTGAAGAGAAAAATGCTCAGGTTCTGGGGGAATTATAAGTACTGCTCGAAGCAGATGTAGCCCTCAGCAGTCATCCCTGGCAAGTGGTAACGTGGGCGTGTTTTGCGCACTTCACCATAGCTTCCGGTCATGCCAGCGGAGAATGGACGCACTGCTTCTGCAACAAGAACTGCAGGGTCACTTCCCCGGGCCTGCTGACCATAACCACAGCGGGACGCCTCTGCTGTTAAAACTGTGCACGTGCTAACGAAAGCTAGGGGTCAAATCCACAGACATCATGTAGGAAACTACCTAGATGACAGCTTTTTCCCTTTTAAATCAGCGGTTCTTAATCTTTCCTAAGCTTGATCACAGGGAGAATTTACAAAACAAAGTGAAACAAAACCAGAAAACAAACAAAAAGCCCCAAACCCCAGATCCCTGGGCCCCACTCAGGTATTCTGATTTAGAAAGGAACGGCAGTAATTTGTATTTTTAACAAGTACCTCCCAGTCACACTGCTTTTAATAGTACTTCCCATCTTCTATGTGGAATGAGCACTCAGTAAGTATTTTTTGATGCTGATGTGGAAATCAACAGAACATATATACTTATATACCCCCCCCATACTACCATCAAAGAGGTAGCAAATGAAGGGCCTTCCTATAGCTATGGCATGACGGATGAAATACAACCCCAAAATTCAAATGGCTTAAAACTGACTGGCAGAATATTTTAAAGCACAGGTAGGTTTTTGGTTTTGCTTTGTATTAACTACTCATAACCCAATTAGCTTTACTCACCAGTTTCTTAGCATCAAGCTGAGTTTCTGGGAGTCTGGGTTTCTAAAGCATCATCTAATATTCTATAATTAACTCTACTTTTGGAATGAAACACTAAGAGGGAGGGTTAAGTTGTCCTAGTGTAAATGAGTAAGAGCAAGCCTCCTGCCCTAGTGTACGCTGTGTTGTGGGTTCATCGTGAGGCTGCTGGGAACGCGTGGTTGGGCTGGTCATTTCACAGGAGAAAGCTAAAGGAGAGGCCAGCATCTGGACTTAATGCTTCTATGGCTTTTTCCAAGTTTCTAAAACAATATAGAACCAGGCCTCTTGCCAGCTCCCTACTTTTGAAAAGCTGCTCCATTTCTACTTCATTCAAAAAATGCTTGTTGTAATCCCCCTCCCCTCCTAGCTGGGAGGAACCTGGAAACAGCTGGAGGTCCAAGGGAAGTCTACCTGTGGGCACACCTGTTTTGAACCTTTTGGGTGTGAAGCTCAGAAAACAGAAGAGAGGCACAGGGCATTGTGGACCAGGCTGACCCAATGCTGCCCCCTTGCTAGGGAGGATGCAGATCTTGTGCCAACAGTTTTCCAGCTCTTCCTTCAAGGTGCCAGAGATAAAACCAGCCAACAGCAAATGTCGATTGTTACTAAAAGAGGAGGTGAGTGATACCTCTCTGACTGGCATAGCCCTTCCGGTACAAGTAAAATGAACAGCTACCAATAACGGTTTCTTACTCCAAAAGATATACTGAGAAGTAGCCTAGTGCCATCGTAAAATGAAGAATTAGTTGAAATTGAATTGAACCTCTTGGACCTTTTTTACTCCAAGCTCCCATTTTAATGGAAATTGCTTAAAAATTTTTCAAAAGAATGGGAAAGTGAGAGTCGAAGCAGAAAGGGAAGCTTTATAACCAGGCAATGGGGCAAAGGTTGGTCTTCTTGATTTATTTTGTATAGATTGTAGCACTCAAGCTTGCCATGTTATCACATTTTTAGGTATTTCAAAAATGAAAAATAAAATGTTGACAGGGACAGCAATAGGTTTCTGCACCTCTTCACAAAGAAGCATGATTCAGTTTAAAGCCAAAAATACATGTCTTTTGTGACATGAAAAGCACACCCTGGTATGACCGGAAGGGAAAACTAAGCACCTACTCAAAGCCACACTGAGGCACAAGTGGGTCAAAAACTGCAGAAACTCCTGGCACAAAAGGGCTCTAAAATGTTTCCCCTGAAAAGGCCTCACTCTCTGTCTCAAACTTTTCAGGGGTTTCTTTAAAGCAGTGGTTCTCACGTTCTGGTCCGGGACCAGCTGCAACAGCATCACCTGGGAACTTGTCAGTGACAATGTCATGTTGAACGTCACCTGAACCCTGTGAGCCCAGAAAACAGCAATGGTTAAGAGCCATGGCTGCTCCCCCCCTCTCCCCGCCACCGCTTCTGTGTTATGGCAGTAGCTTCCTGCAAATAACCCCCCACCCCATATGACTTGGATAAGACTCACAGGTGCCCTTGTCTACCTAGGACAAAGCCAGACAGACCCTCCACATTCGCATTGGCTGAACTTGGGATTAATCAGAACAAAGTACTGGTTAACCAATCTTTGGTTAAGCTTCTCTCCTTCCTCCAGGTCTTTGAACTTTGGCTAGTCTGCAATCCCTCCACAACAGCCCTTCCTGACACTGTGCTGGTCTCAGGTTAAAACATTCTCTCATCTGCGAATGCCTTCAAACACGCTTTCTTCCCACTTCCTCATACATACATGTCCCTTTTGCCTACCCCTAGAGACCCCTGCAGATCTCAGAGTCAGAGATTCTCCTACTGCTAGCCCTCCCCGCCCCCCATTACAATAGCACCCTTCTCCCCTTGGGAATACTCCTTTCCAATAGTCTCTCCTTATTCAATAAAGACTTGCGGTGTTTTGTTTTGACATTAGAAATATAAATTCTCAGGTCCCACCCTAGACCTTCTAACTGAGAGAGGAGGGTGAGGAGGCAAGGGGTGGAGGGTGCACCTAAAAATCCGTTTCTGAACAAGTGCTCTTGGGGTACTTTGAGAACGACTGATTCACAGCAGTGCCTCTGAGGTCTAATTAGTGCATTCAACACTTTAACTCCCAGTCACCTGTGTTCCGTTCTTTTCTTTCTTTCTTGCTGGTGGCCAGCTGCTTTTTATTTCTATTTATTTTTAATTTTTTAATTGTATTTTTTCCAGTACTATTTAATCCCTTTATACTCCCCTCCTCCCTGCAATCACCACACTGTTGTCCAAGTCCCTGAGTCCATTTTTCCTTTCTGCTGGACCCCTCCCCCACAACTTCCCTCCCCCATCCATAGCTGTCATCCTGCAAAAAGACTGTCTCTATTTTTTTTCACTCACGCTTAAGTGCAAGCTATTTTTGAGGCTTTTTGTGAACACATTTTTAGCACCCCCACAGACTGTTGGTCTTATAAAGTCACTTTCCAATGACAGACAAGACCACGCAGCACCAGTTTCCCCTCCTGACCACGCGCAAATCCGAGCAGGCCGGAACCCACACATACTTACATCTCCATCCCCCGGCCTCTGATCCTCACAGTCTCTGGTGGGGCTAATATCCTGGCGCATGACCCAGATGGGCTCTTTGGGCTCGTCGGGGGTATAAGGCGAACGGATGGTCCTGGTTTTCACCTCCTCGATGGCCTCCTTGATGTCTTTGATGGCCAGCGAGATGGCATCCCTCTTCTCCTTGTTGTACCGCTGCACCGCCTCGCCGCCAGCGCTGCCGGCCGACCGCTGCTGCCCTGCAGGTGTTTGCGGCTCGGGGCTGTCGGGGCCGCCCCCGCCGGGCGTGGAGGCACGCTCCAGGTCCTGCTCGGCCTCCGGCATGTCCTCAGCCGCTTTGTCAAGACTCTGAGAGCTCATGCTCTGTTTGACCTCCGCCACGATCTGGTCGATGTCCTCCTCCTGCTCATAGCTGTCCATGCGCGGGTAGGGAGCGAACTCGGCCTCCTTTTCGGGGCTGTCCGACTCGCCGTCCGAGCGCTCGTCGTAGTGGTGCAGCCGCGCGCCCAGGGCCTCTTGGCGGTACGCTGCCGCCTCGTCGTGCTCCTCCTCGTACAGCCGCAGACCCTCGTCGCGCGCGTCCAGCTCGGGTGCGTCCCCGATCTCCTCGTACACGTGCTCCTGGAGGCCCCCGTAGTCGGCGTAGGGCTCGGCATACGGCTCGTCCTCGCCGCGGTGGAAGAGCCGGTGCGTGTAGACGTAGCCCGAATAGGCCGCGTTCATGGCCTCCTCGTGCTCCAGCGAGTGGAAGTGCAGGTGGTTGGGCAGCGCGCGGCGGTGCGTGGCCTCGGCGTGCTCGGCCTCCGCCTGCTCCGTGTACTCCTCGGCCTCGGGTCTGTACTGCACGGCGTAGGCGCTCTCGTCCTCCGGGTCCTGCCCGCGCTCCGGGTCGTAGCCGTCGCGGGCCGCGGCGATCACGTCGCCCTCAGCCGTGTCCGTGTGGTTGTGGAAGCCGCTCTCCGTGCTGGCCGAGCGCGCCAGGCAGTCCCCGCGCTCTTCGTCCTCCTGCGGCCCAGGCTGGGTGCCGAGGTCCTCGACGGCGCGCCCGCGCGGGGCCCGGCCCGCATAGTGCTGCTGCTGCGGCTGCGGCTGCTGCGGCTGCTCCTCTTCCACCTCGGGGCGCTCCAGGTCGGCCTCCACCGACTCGTTCACCTCCCCGCCTGCCGCCTCGTCGGTCACCTCCGCCTCCGCGGCCCCCTCCAAGTGGTTCATGGTGGGCGTCGGGGACGGCTGGGAGAGAGGCTGGGCGGCTCACTGCACTCTCATTTTGTCTCACCCGGCTGGAAAAACAAGAGGGCGAGGGAGGGTGTTAGGTGGTTTAGGCTGTCGTCTTGAGCCCCGTACCAAGATGGCCATAAAAACAGCTGCCATTGATCCCTTCTGAATCTTTGTCAATTAAAATAAATGATTGCAAATTTAAGCTCACTCTGACAGCACATAGTTCATTTTCCTTGTATCCCGTATTGTAATTTGTAATTACATACCTACTTGTTTAATTGCTTACTGGCTTTCTTCTCCCTTACCCACTCCTTCTACTGAGAGCCTCACGAGAGCGTTAGTTCTCCTCCGAGAGCGCTAGTCCCTCACCGTGCTTACTCTTCAGGCTCCATTTCCGATGCACATGAGTAAAGAGAACTAAACTGAATGGGTCGAGTGACACATTTTCCATCTGCTGAGATATAAATCTCTAAACTAGGATCCTAAATATCTTTAGAAACGATTCTTCAAATTTCAAGGGGAGAAAAATCTCAACATGTTTTGAAGCCATTGCTATCAATACGAATAAGCAGCCATTCTGGGGGAAGCTCTCAGCCCCACCAGCGGGCCACCGGCCTGCCATTACTGGCTATTTCTTCATGGGTGGCCGCACAGGAGACTAGACTCATTTCCTGCAGCAGCGTGTTAATGCTGTTACACAGGGAGAAGAGACTCAGAGTTGTCAGTTTGTTGTGAATATTCAAGGCGGTGAAGATACAGGATCCAGGGTTTTCCAAACTTGTTTGACTAGGAAACTTCCCCCTCCAAGAGGCCAGCATTCTGACAAATACACTTACAGCAACACTGACTAGCTCACTTTCCCAGATATTCCCTACAACACATGGACCAAAACAGGCCATCCATGTTTCCTGTATAAGGCCTCTCTGAAAAAGACAACAGATTAAAAACTATATTACGTACAACTCATAAACACAAAGCTAGTGTTCACAGAGAGGGGCACTAAAAATACCAAACACTCCTCCAGGCCCTCTTGCTCTGTGGTGTCGGCTGTGTGTGGACAGTGTTAGAAACACAGGAACAAGCACCAAAGCGTCCAAATGGCCAACAGTTCATGATAGTCACTTGTCGAACTAAACAAACATTGTCTTCAGTAAAAATATATTTTTCTATCTTACATGCATTAAAAAGAAGTTTTAGTTTATTCTGTGGTAAAATTGTATTTGACCAGGGAATGGTGCCCTCTCATGGCACATGTATTGATTCAAAGGAAATGTGGTTTCTGTGCATGTGCACACACTAAGTCATGGTAAGGAAAGTTGCAAGAAACCTGTTTTTGGGGGAAAGGCTGTTATAATAATGTAGTTTGGGAAAGTGGAGTTTATATTCATGAGTGCATTTTCCTTACACCCCCATCCAAAGCCTCAGAGGAGTATTTATGCATGAAGCGTTTTTATTTCACATATCACCATGGTTTCAAGAATATTGTTTGGGTGGTGGTATTGACAAGTTACTTAATAACAGGCATTTATTTGAGGAATTTCCCTCAGACAGAGGCAACCGGCAACCTTAAAAGATGGAGCTGACATTGGTGGTCACATCCACAGTTAGCACACAAGGTAACTGCTCCCCATAAGGTCTGTTCCCCATGCCCTTGCAAATTTGGGCGCAGAATTTACAAACAAATATTAAAGCTGTTTTTAAAGAATCCCAGGTTATTGTGAGAATATGTATTGGTACAGCCTTTTTGAAGTGCAATTTGGTAAGTTGAATTAAAATCTTCAAAAAACCCCCCATACCTTTGCTACAGTAATTCTACGTATAGAAGTCTTAAAAATAAAGCAAACAAACAAACAAAAAAAAACCCCCACCCTCAGATGTGGACAAAGATGTTTCTCACTGTATTTGCTTTAAAAGCACAAATTATGAATGCTAATATTAAGTGCTAACATTTATTAACTACGAATGAGTACAGTGCTTCCTTAGCATGTGAGTTCATACTGTGATCTAGGAGGAGGCGATTTTTCTTCACTGAGGAGCTGCACCTGCAGTTCCCACAGCACTCAAAGTCAGCCTGCCACAGCTGAACAAGTCCTGCCTCCTCACCCTCTCCCCCGCCCTGGCTTCCAAACCTCGCCCACCTCCCATGTTTCCTGTTCGGGTGAATGGCACCACCAGCCACCAAATCACCCAAGTCCCATATCCAGGAATCATTACCTACTTGTCTCTTTGCCTCACATCCTTCTCCAAACTGAGGACTGAGGCCATTGTCTTAATAACTCTTGCATCCTCCTCACTGCCACTGCCACTGCCCCTGCCACTGCCACTGCCCGGCCTTGGTGTGTCTTGACTATACAATTGTTTCCCTGACTAATTTCTCAGTCCCCTCCAGCCCAGCCTCCCACTGCCAGCCTGATGATCTTTCTATAATACAAATTTCAATCCCATAACGCTATTTCTCAAACACTTCAGCAATTCTTCTTTAGAGCATAGTATAAATGCTTAACCAAACTACAAAGCAGGCATTACTAGGCATTTTCTACATAGTGAGTCATTTAATTATCACACAAGTCTATGAAGAGAGTACCGTTATATTCTCCTCATAGAGTATCATCAGCTCATTTAAAAATGAGGATATGCAGGCACTGGGGGGTGACTGCATGGGTCACACACCTGGGGAGTGATCGAACTGGTAGAACAGTGTCTGCCCTCGTTCTCTAGCTCTGTGCTCTGGGTGCTTGAGTCCTACTCCTGGCAAACAAAACCCTTGGGCCACGTGGCTCCGCAGGCCTCATTGCCACATTTAACCTGCACCCCGAATGCTGATACCCCCGAGTTCTGACACTGGCCCTAACTGCCTCCCCTAGCCTCAGCCTATTTTTTACCTATAACTTTCCTTTGGTGAACCTGTCATCTCTTTCCCAGAGCAAGTTCATAGTTGATGAGTTTCTATTGGTGAGGAACATATGCCAGCCTCCAGGCAATGTTCCGGGCACTGGGGTGGAGCAGTGACCAAGCCAAATAAGCTTTTCTGCTCCCAGGAAGCCCCCCATTCTAGTGAATGGGGGGAGGGGTGGATGGAAAGCAGAGAGAAACAGACATAATTATGTTAATAAACTGTGAAGACTAGGACCAATAAAAAAATGGCATTGATCCAGTCAAGATAGCATAGAGTATATAAAAGAAAATGGAGTCACTCACGTCAACTAAGATGACTGCCAGTCAGCCATGATACTTTGGTTTAAGAAGGAAACTATCTAAGTCATGCCAGACACATCTGGCAAGGAGACACACCTAAGATATCTGCACATGTCACCAGAACATCCATGTCTGCAGAGTGGGACCATCCATGGACAGCCTCTGGGGAAAGTCCCCACTTGCCATCTGGGATGCATGAGGCAGGCTTTCAGTTGAGACAGCTGCACTCCATACCCCAGAGTGCTTCTCCACACCATGCCGATCTCCCTTGGCTTCAGTGGCTGGAGGCTCTGCCCTGCTGGACTGGGGACTTTGACCACTCTGCTGCCCTCCTAGCTCCAGAGATTCTTCCTTGTAAGATGCTGACGGCTCCCTTGCCCCCGTGCTGTCTTCCGGACCTGCAGACTAAGACTCTGGGACTCGGGTTTGTTATACCTCATTGACTGCTCTGTGTGTGTTATATTTCTCTTAGATGATTAGAGTGTGAATAGCATATTAACATATGTTGATATTCTACTTTGAGTGAACCTGCACTCAATAAAAACTGCATGAATAGCATAGTTATCTTGTATGACTCCTATCTGTTCCTTGGTGCCAGCATGCTCAGCAGGCAGCTAGCCAAGCAGCTGCCCAGCTGACTTAGAGGAAAGACTCTATCATGAACATATGCTTCAACATAAATGAACGACATAACTTCAGATAGCGAAAAGGTTTATGAAGAAAATAATACAAGGCAATCACAGAAAGTAATGAGGAGAGGGGGTTATGTAGACAGTGGCCAAAGGAGGTGATATTTGTGCAGAGGCCTGAAAGATAAAGGAAGAGACAGCCAAGTAAGAAGGTCTGAGGGCCAGGTCTGGGGGTGAGAAGGGACTTGCTGTGTTCAAGGACAGAAATAATGCTTGTGAAGTGAGGGATAGTGTGGTGGTGATGAGGACAGACAAGGGAAGGGACTGGACAGGACAAGGCCTGGCACATCGGGGTAGAGAATTTGGATTTTATTTCCAGTGCAGTGGCACGCTACTGGGGGTTTGTAAGCAGGGAAGTGATAGAGTCTAATTAACCCTGCCCTTGTCCTCACTGTACTTGTCTATCATTATATGTATTATTATTATAGTACCTGTCATTCTGAGTGACAATTGCTTATGCAGTCCTGGGGAAAAGAGGACCTGTCATTTATCTTTGATTCCCCAGTGCTAAGCACAGGGGGTACACGGTAGGTAGTTAACAAATTTCTAGTGGTTAAAAAGAAAACAATTATTTCCCCCCAGTATCTGGGTCCTTCTAGAGATTGGCATGCTCAGCCTTCAGAGAAGAACTATATTCATCTTTCCATCTTGAATCTCTGCTGCCTCATCCATCCATGAAACCTTCTGATCCCCTAAGTGCCCAAAGAACTCCACTGATCCAACATTCCCCTACATTTGAGTGAGTTGATCCAGTTGGCATTTAGTGGACACGTACCATGCAGTATGCAAACCAAAGGGGATAAGAACGTATCTGAACCATGGTCCCAGCCCTCAAGGGCTGACCACTTCAATAATAATAATACCTGGTGATCAGTGCAAAATAGACATAGATTCAAACTACAAAAGAAGCCTAGTTAAAACAACAGCAGCAACCACATCTGCCTTTGTGAAAAATAGGTTCTTACAGATTCTGCATTTCATGAGCTCAGAAGCATCCTAAGAACTAGAACCTAAGAGAGGAGTGCCATCATCCAATCAGTGTCCTCAATTATGACCCGTGTACCTCTGGAGGCTGAGAGTAGGAGAAGGAGCAGCTGGTTGAGAAAATCCCTCTGTCTCGACAAAAGGCTGGATGACCTGGAATAGACAAGCCAGCCAGTGCCTCAGCAGGATCCCCC